TCACACAAAAAAAAAAAGAAAAAAGTGGGATTGGAGGAGGAAGAGATCAAGACAAAGGACAAATATTTTTGCTAGCTTTATATTTAGACTCAATTCAACAGCAATTTATTTTTGATTTCAGATCTAGACTCTATGGTGGTTTTGAGGGTTAGGGTTGGTGGGATTGTGGTGGCTAGGTGTTGAGGTGGCACCAAAAAGGAGAGAGGGATGAGTAGTATAGTTACATTGTGTTTGGTTGAGAGATTTAGGAAAGTATTTTGAAAGAGAAAGGAAAAAAAATAGGTGAAATGCAAATAAAATATACTTATATTTTATTTAATTTCACATATCTTTTTTCTTTTATGTTTTAAATTTTTTTTCAAATTTCTAAACCAAATACAACGTTGGGAAAATGGAAGCAGAAAATGAATGAAGTGATGTTGGAAAGGGCAAACGAAGGGTAGCTACCGGCTGTAAGAGGAGATTTGAAGGTCTCTGGGTGAGATGAGCGTGTTGTGATAAAATGTGGTAAGGTTCATCACACATTTGATGATGAGTGGTGTTAATAATGGTGAATGGTTGATAAAGAAGGTTGTGATCTGGTGTGACTGGGCTTAAATTTAAATTTGCATCAAGTTAAAACTCTCAATTTTTTTTTCCCCTTGTAATTTCTCTTCTTTTTTTTTTAACATTTGGTATTGAGAAAAAAAATATTTTTAAAAGCTAAGCCTGCGTTTGGTTGTGTTTTGTAAATATGATTTGAGAGTATGAGTTGTATTTTGAGTTTGTGGGTTGTAGAATTATGATTTGAGTGTAAAAAATTTGTTTGGTTATTGTTTTTAAATAGAGTGTTGAATTGTGTTTTGAAGATGTATTTTGAATTAAGTTTTGAAAGTTTGATGTGACATGTGAAGGGTGAAAATTTGTTTGGTGATGTGTTTTGAAAATAGTTTTCAAAACTTAATTTAACCAATAATTTATCATCAAACACACAACTCATATATCGATATCCATATTTTTTATCAACAATAATAACCAAACTATTTTTAAAATACTGAAATTAAAAATTGATTTTTTTTGTCAATTATTTTTTTTTTTGTAATTTTTTTGAATAATTGTTTTTTCGAAATAATTTTTTCATTTTAAAATAAACCTATGTCAATTATTTTCTGCCAATTAATTTTTCTATCAATTCATTTGTAAAATACGTTTTTAATTTTTTTCTAACATTTTGTTAAAGTCAACAATTTTTGAAAATACATATTAATAAAGAAGGAATAAATATACTAACTTTAATATTTTAAAATACAAATCATAACGTAAATCTTACAAAACATTATCAATTTTTTTTCCATTTATTACATGTTATGAATTTCGTCCAAATGTGGTAACAGAAATGCAATGCATTATTGTACCCGTTGAGCTCATATAATTGTGGGGATTGACATACGAAATGACTATTATGCCCCTCTTGACTTACATGGAAAGTGGTCACATAGAACAAAATATAAAGGGTAAGATAGTAATTTCACTTACTTACTACCTACCCCCTATTGTTTCATAGCTGTGTGTTCAACACTGAGGTAAAGAAAAAGGAGAGGCTGCAGCTGTGTACTCAGTACACGGATGTGATATCATTACAAAAGTAATAATATTAAAAACAAATAATATTTAACAAATAAAAAGTAAATAAAAAAAAATACAACATGAACCTTTTGAACCTCACACTTTCTATTAAATCTGAATTTCATTCTGTTTACCACACCAACTTCACCATCTCAGAAACACCTTCTCTAGTTACATCAGAAAACAAAAATTAGAGAAATAGAGCATATTCACCATCTCATTAGGTCCTCCTTCTCCACTTCCATAATTTACAGGTTAGTTTTGATGCCAATTCATCTTCATATTAGCTTCAGATATTAGCTTCAGACATTAGCTTCAGAGGGGTGAGGGAGGGGAAGAGGAGGACAACCGGGCGATCATCCCACCGGTCTACCGGCCGATCATCCCACGGGACATCCGGTCGGTCATCCCGACCCAGTCACCATTCCACCTCCGTATCTGTTGTTGGCTTTGTTTCATATCTGTTCCATTTTCATCTGTTATATTTTCTGATTTCTGTTCTAATTTTGTCACACTATCATTTATTTTTCTGATTATCAGTTTCTAAGTTATAATAAACTGTATGAAACAAATCCAATATAAATGAGAAATATCATTCCTTATGATTTTTTTTTGTATAAAAATCTGTTTCTATGGCATCTGCCTAATTAAATTTTGTCACCAAATTTTTTTATATTTATTTTTTTACATAAAAATAAGTTTGTATGCACAAAAATATACTAATGATTGATATATTTTTCATACATTTTTCTTACCTCTCATATGTTTTAATATACAATTTTCTTTCACTTTTGCAGTCAGCATGCCAAGAACAATCATGCCAAAAACAAAACGAACCAGGCCCGAACTTGGTGAATCCTCAAACCCTGTACCACCACCACAACAACAACATGATGGCTATCGAACTAATGATTTTGCAACATATCATCATGAACAATCCTATGAACATTTCATTACTCGACCAATTATTACGGGAAAAAACGTAAAACTACCTTTTCAATATGATTCACTCTTACTTGGCAAATTAGATACAATGGGATGGTTACCATTAAATAATTTACCAAATAAGATATATCCCCGTCTTCTACGATTATTTTATGTTCACTTGACATCGGGTGACCAACAAAATGAACCGTTCAGTTTTACCTCTTATGTTAATGGGAAAAGAATCACACTCTCTCTCCGTTGTTTTGCACAAATTATTGGAGTCGAAACAGGAGAATTACAATGTTATTTTCAAAATGAGGCCGCATTAGAAAAAATTGTTGATGATGTCACTCAGATTTATACCACAATTTGTGACAACCGATTTAGCGGCACTAATTTACAAGTCAGCCATTTAAAACCTCACCTTCGTATTCTCCATTGATAGATAGTTGAAAATATCACTCCCAAAAAAGGAAATTATAATAGTGTTTCATGTTTTCAAGTTTACTTGTTACATTGTTTTGAAATTGGACAAAAATTAGATTTATGCTTTATATTACTAAAAGAAATGATGCTTGCAAAATTGGATACTCTGAGTGGCCGGTCACTACCTTTTGGAGCTTTGTTAACCATAATTTTCAAAACCCATGATGCAAACCTTGAAGGTGAAGGATGGATCAGAATCACTTCACCAATTTCTGAGTATACACTGACCCGAGCTGGTGGTGCTGACACCTTGATGGGCTCTATTATTCTTGAAAATGAACCAATACCTGATGAGGAAGAACCCAATGACAATGCCATGCCACCAAATGAACAACCCCATTACTGGACTGATTATTTAGCCTTGGAACAAGAACGGTACAATCAGCGCCTACAATGGGAACAACAAATGGCTAATCAGCTCAATACATTGGGTACTCGATTCGATGAATTTGGTACTCGGTTCGATGAAATTGTCACCGCTCAGAACTCACTAATTCATCAATTTGGTGAGTTTCGTGTAGACTCAGAGAGACGTGTTGAACTGACAAGGAACCGCATTGATCTGATTGACCACCGAGTCACTCAGCTGTACCATCAGCATTTCCCTCCACCTCCAACACCACCTGACAAGGATGCTTACGTTGTTTAAAAATCAAGTAAAATGGTTCACAGATATGGTGGTTATATTTTTTTTCCTTTTTTTGTTTTGGTTATTTATTTGGTGAGTTTTGTTGTGATTGTTTTACTTTTGTTATTTTGTTATAAACTTTTCTATTCACGTAATGAATAACAACGAGGGGTTTTTTTTGGAATCATTTAATTATATAGTTATAATGTTATAACAATCTGTGCAAAAAGATTATGCATTGAAATTAATTATTTGTACAAAAATTAATAAATAGTACTTCATAAATGTCTACGAAATCCTTCATTCGAATAAAATGAATAAAAATTACACAATTATTAAATAATTTATCTGCATCAATTAATTTATAAAATTAAATTAATGTTTTGAAATTAAATAAAACAAGTTACAATTTTAATAATATTTAATAATAAACATTCTTTTTTGTAATGAAAAGGAAAAAAAAGTTAATATAAACTTCTGTACAGAAAATTAAAAAGAATACCCCAGCGTTTACACAAATTCTACACCCTTACTTGAAGATGTACCCAGCTAATTTTTATACATTCTTCATATTAAATAATATTTTGCTATAAAATCGGGTGATATAAAACAATAAAATATAATTTACTTTTTTATTTTATTTTATTTTATTATTATTATATTAAAAGTTATTATTATTATTATTATTATTATTATTATTATTATTATTATTTTTTTTTATTTGTTACACTTTTAAATGGTGAACTTGTCACCACCACCACCTACTACCACCAACCACCCACCTGCCAGCACCACCCATCACCAACCACCACCCATTTGCCACCACCACCCATCGCCAATCACCACTCACCACCCATCTGTCACCCACCACCAATCACTACTCACCACCCATTTGCCACCCACCACCACCCATCTACCACCACCACCCACCACCCATCTGCCACCACCACATTTAATTTAATGACAACATATTTATTTATGAAAGTTACTAAGAAACACATTGCATATTAATAACAACATATTTAATTGTCTTTGCTAGACTATACATAAAATTGCATATTACACATTGCATGAACAACATATTTAAGTACACATGTACTAAGAAAACCATTATCTTCATTACCCATGCGATGATGTTTGTGTTTCATTTCGTTACACATTGCCATTTAGCCCAATCGTTGTCCTCAGTATTAGTTATCCTACAAGAAGATAAAAGAAGTCAATAAATCACAGAAATGATGGTTGGGCGAAGTTATGTAGTAACGGTGTCATAATGACTGAAATTAGTAAAATAATTACACATTTACAACCAGTAGTCAGTATGATATTCACTTGCCTTGTTCACATCCCTTTTCTATGCATGGTGAACATGATTTTGCCACATAGCAGTAGCAATTGCATCCCTAACATTCGATTGGGACGTTAACCCATGTTGTGACATGTCAACGTAGTCAGCTTGGTCTCCAACAAGCCCGTCTGCTTCAGCTTCTGCGGCCATTTCATTATCAGCTTCCATAAAGAATAGATCCATAGCTGCATGCAAACGGATCCAATTGTGCACTACACAACATGCAATCACGAGAGGCCCTTGTCGTGTAGACTTGTAATTTGGCATGGACCGCAATATTGGGAAGCGCTTCTTCAAAACACCAAATGTTCTTTCTATGATATTGTGTAATGACGAATGTCGATGGTTAAACAATTTCTTAGGTCCTGCATAACAATGGCCACGAAACTCTTGCAAGTGATACCGTTGAGACCGAAATGGGGCAAGAAATCCAGGTATGTTCGTGAAACCAGCATCAACTAAATAGTACTTGCCTACATGTAAATAATGAATACGCAGTTCTGTCAATTGATATGTACAAAAACAGACAAGGAAAAAAGTGTACCGTATGTTATTCAGGGACAGTCACCATTGGGTGGGTGTGGGAACTGTAGATCAGCTCGTGTAATAGAGTAAACCAGAATAGCATTGTCGTGAGCGCTACCTTCCCATCCAGAATTAATAAATGTGAACAACATATCGAAGTCGCAAGCTGCGAGTACATTTTGCGATACTGTTGCTTTCCGACCGCGGAATGTATTTTGTCCTGAAGTAGGGACCCATGCATCCACCAATGTGCCATCGATAGCACCGACACAATCCTAATTGACAAATATTTGTCTGATATTAAAAGCGAAACAAACTTCTATATTACTTTCATAATAAAAAAAATAATATTTATTAACACTTATTAATATGAACAAACTTACAGGACAGTTATACTGTTCGTACCTTGAACCAGGGAAAAAACCTCCTGTCATTTAAAATTTTTCCCGGTATGTCCTCTAGGTTACATGGTTTGATAACCGATGATGAAGCTTGCACAATGCCCGCATAACAATTTTTATGTGCCGACAAATTGTTTTCGTGGAGTGTTGAAATCTATCTACCATTATTCGATGGGGATCATTTTGTGCAAAAGTGTATAAAAAAATTTCAAGCGATTCCTCCACATTGATATGTATATGTTCAGTATCGATAAAGCCATTATGGAATAAAGTGTCTTTCAATAAAATGAATGCTTGTGCATCCATTCGCATAACGTTCATCATTGTTTCTGGATGGCCATTTAATAGGCCGAAGATATAATCATCACCTCTGAATGGACACGTTCGCTGCGGTCGGCGACTACTTGACGCGTTGATATGGTCATGCATTACAGCAATCATCAAGAAATCCATAAAATCAATTCGCTGCAGTCGGCGACTACTTGACGCGTTAATATGGTCATGCATTAAAGCAATCATCAAAAAATCCATAAAATCATCAACAACCTCAACCTCCTCTGATGAGAGCTCCATTGTATTGTTTTCTCTGTCGGATGACATATGCCTTTGTATACATCACAGTAAAAGCATAATTATAAAATATGTTATTCATGCTGTAACAGTTAGCGTTATTGGTGAAACAGTCAAATTCAGAGGACAACAAAATTTATTTAACACATGGTCATATTATAATAACAGAACATAGTTTTAATATAATAGAAAACACTTAAAAGTTCAAAAAAAAAAAACATACGAACATAGAAAAGGAAAAAGGATATGATGGAATGAAAAAATAAAAAATAAAAACCAAATCAGGATTAATGAAATCATCAAACAGTTCGGCCAAGAAGATTTGCTAACACAAGCAAAACAGAACTTCTCAGTTCATTGCAAAGCGAGGATCATGGCTAGGCGCAAATGGGTAAGAGTGTGCATAAAAAACCTTCGCCATTCCTTATCCTTGAACAGTGTCAGTGCCCTAACGTACTGCAACGGTGGTATGTCCCCAAGCTCAAGCAATGCATCTTGACATGCATCAAGGAAATAATCATCACCACCTGCACTTACAGCCTCTGCCTCATTTTCTCATGCACGTGAATGTCCTGTTTTGGCTTGTACATACAATGTGAAAGCTGTGCGCACATCATCAAACCCACTTGACCATAACTTTTTGGAACGACCACTGTCAGTCTGGCTGGTTACAAGGCCCCTCTTGTGACTTTTGCCCTTTGCTGGATCCATATACTCATCCCCGAATAAGTCAACAGGAATGGCCTCAGCAGCATTACTCCCACCAGCGTTACTCCCACCAGCATCAGCGTTCCAAAATTTATTTAACATGTCATCTTCTTCTTCTGAGTCAAGGGTCCTTGTGTGGATGCACGAGACAGGGCCCCTGTGGCACAACAATTTTCAACAATTTCTGCCATTTCTTGAAAATATTCAAACCTTTTTGTCCTGAACTTCTTCACATTTCTGCTAGCCTACAACAATTACAAAACAAGAATTAAGCACTGTATATATCATGAAATGTTTAAAATAAAATTAGAAAATAGTACAAATTAATGGAAAACCTTATCCCAAAATTCATTGGGTGCAACAACAGTGCCTATAATAGGATCCCATCCCAGACCAGTCTGTGCCTGCAGTCGCTTAAATGTCTGGTAATCAGCTTTCAATCGCTGATATTTTTGGCACACCTTGACACCTGTATACCGAAATCCATATATGTTGTGCAACTGATTTGCCTAATGATTCCAATGCCTAATTGTCCACGAAGTAGTACGGCCCGTTGTTTGATTGTTTCTAACCTCATCTCTCAATATATTTATTAATTTCGTTTCAATTCTGGGCGTCCACATTTTGGTATTTTCATAGAATAACAGTGCAAAATGGTTTGAAGGAGAACACAGATAAGGGAAAAAGAACAGATACGTAGCAGATTAATTGAATTTAAATAACAGAAATATAACCACAAAAAAAAAAACATTCAGATATATAACCACAAATAATTAAAAAAAATCAGTTAACATTGTGTTTAAATAATAGGAAACAAATCAGTAAAAGAAAAATTAAGGAAAAAAAAATCAGTAAAAAAGCCCGGTAGGTTCAAACAGTTCAGGGGAGGACCAGTCGGTAGGTTCAAACCATTAAGGAAGAAATGGAAAACCGGAAGAGGTGGGAGGACCGGGTGGTTGACCGGCCGGATGACCCGGGGGACGACCGGCCGGGTGTCCCAGGCACTGCCGCTTCAGGTTCTGATCGATGAAAGGTTCAAACAGTTCATAATTTAAAATAACAATCGATCTGAAATGGAAAATACGCCTCTACAATTTAAAATAACAACCGATCTGAAATGGAAAATACGCCTCTACAAATTCTCATAAACCATTTAGGAACTGATTTCAACTTCTCCGAAATTATTTATACATAACAGATGAAGATTGATTTATTGACTATTCTTGAAGAACAAAAAAGTTGAAACAGTTCAGGATGAAGGATGAAGAATGAAATCATTTATCGACTCATCTGAAATCATTTTCAGATAACAGATGAAGGATGAAGGATTTATTTACCAGATTAGTGGGAGTTGAATAGTTATCGCCGGTGATGGAATGTGTATACTGATTGAATGTGCCACTGTTTGCCCGTCGGATTCGACAATAAATTTGATAAATTTGACCTGAAAAAAAATAAAAATTAATGAAGATGAATTTCTCAAATAATTTCCCTATAACAAAATATGTAAATAAATTTGTGAGTAATTTCACCTCGTAGTCGTCGTTGTTTGGTTGCCCGTAATAAGAATCGTCCGCAACGCACAAATCGTAACTCAGTCGATTTGTGAAATATGATACCAGTACAAAGCGGGTTGGGTGGATTCATTATTTATAAAATGAGTCTGACTTCTGAAACCCACCTGTGGTGAATCTGAAGTACGGATGTTCGATACAGAGAAGCCACCCGTGAAGAATCTAAAGGACTGATGTAGATGAGGTTCACGTGAAAGTTGCAGAGACGATGAAAAAGGAAGAAATGTTGAAAGCGAGATACAAGCTGCCAAATAGATTTTCAAAATGTAATTTGAATTAACACGCGGAATCAACTTTTGAACGTCGTATCCAAACGTCATGCGCAAGCTCACGTGTTGAAAATTGATTTGAATTAACAACCAAACAGAGCCTAATATTTTTAGTAGGAATTTAAAATTCAAATGACACTTCGCAAATCAAATGATTTGACACCTCCCAAATCAAATAATTTGACAAATAGTATTTATAATAAAAATCTCAATTTAAATTGAATTCTCAACATTTGCTATTGGGATTTTTATTTTATGTTTAAAAAAATCTTTTTTTAATTTAATTTAATTTTATCAAGTACACTTTTTTGTTTTAATATTTATTTTAATTTTTTAATATAGAAATAATTTTTTAATTTATTTTATTTAAAAATAATTTAACAATCCAATTATTAACCATCTCTCACACTATTATCAAAACAAATACACGTTTACTTAATTTTCTCACTAACAATCTCCATATTAATAATCTCTTCATTAACCATTCCTTTACTAATAATCCCCTCCAACCTAATCTACCAAATAAATATGGCTTAAGAGACTTGACATTTAGTAATTGACGGAGACAAAGACACGTAGTGCCCTTAGATCACTTAGGGTTGATTTGGCAAGGGCTCATTGGGCTTTTTTGGCTCAATGAGCCATAAAAGACAGAATAGGCTCATGAGCCACAACAGACAAAATATCCCATCCAACCCCATAATCATTACACTCTTCTCTCACAAAAAAATCAAAAGCTTTTGGGCTCAGGCTCATATAGTCAAAAAAAACTAAAAAATTAAAAAGCCAACCCACTACAGAGGCTTAGTATTTTTTCATATTTGGACCATTTGATTTTATCATAGAACATTTGAGAATTGGCTTTCCACTTTTATATGAGACAGCAAAAAAATAATGTGTTTAACTATGATTTTTTTAGTAGTATAAAAAAAAATTGTGAATTACTGAGATGTTTGACTTTTTTTTTTAGTAGTACTACTAAAAAAATCATAGTTAAACACATTATTTTTTTGCTGTCTCATATAAAAGTGGAAAGCCAAGTCTCAAATGTTCTATGATAAAATCAAATGGTCCAAATATGAAAAAATACTAAGCCTCTGTTTGGGAAGTGGGTTGACTTTTTAATTTTTTAGTTTTTTTTGACTATATGAGCCTGGGCTCAAAAGCTTAGTTTGGGAAGGGCTTTTGGCTTTTTGGCTTTTTTGATTTTTTTGTGAGAGAAGAGTGTAATGATTATGGGGTTGGATGGGATGTTTTGTCTGTTGTGACTCATAAGCCTATTCTGTCTTTTATGGCTCATTGAGCCAAAAAAGCCCAATGAGCCCTTGCCAAACCAACCCTAAGCTTTTGAGCCCAGGCTCATATAGTCAAAAAAAACTAAAAAATTAAAAAGTCAACCCACTTCCCAAACAGAGGCTTAGTATTTTTTCATATTTGGACCATTTGATTTTATCATAGAACATTTGAGAATTGGCTTTCCACTTTTATATGAGACAGCAAAAAAATAATGTGTTTAACTATGATTTTTTTAGTAGTATAAAAAAAAATTGTGAATTACTGAGACGTTTAACTTTTTTTTTTAGTAGTATTTTTTTGACTTCTTAACTTTTTTTATTTAATTTTAATTTATTTTTTTAATAGATTACACTCACCTCCCTTGAGATTTGAGAAAATTATTCACCTTGCTTGTTTTTACTTTTCAAAAAATACTTTTCAGAAAATTCTACTTTCTTATTTTTCGTATTTTTGTGTTTTTACTGAATTTTTTTAATATTTTAAGTAATTTTTTTTACTTTTTAAACACACCTAATATAAATACACCTAAAAAGTAAAAAAATTGTGAAAAAAATCTTTTAAAAATTCACTAAACACCAAAAATATATATAAAAAAATAAGAATTCAGTACATTTTTTGTATATTTATGTATTTATTATTTTTTTAAAATATTTTTATATAAATTTTTTACTTTTTAGATGCATCTAAGTAAGATGCATCTAAAAAAGTAAAAACAAATGTTTAAAATTTTAAAAATATTCACTAAAAACAAAAAAATACGAAAATCAAAAAAGTCAATTTTCAAAAAACTTAATCTAAAAAACTCAAACCAAACACACTGATTGTTAGCCTCATACTTTTAACATAATTACATTGACTCTTTTCTAGTAAAATTATTGTTAGCCTAATATAGTTGGTGAGTAAATATGAAATAAATAAAGATAAGGGTAAATTACACTTTGCTCCCCTAAAGTTTCACCCATTTCCCACTTTAGGCCTTTAAGTTTAATTTTTCTCACTTTGTCCTTCATGTTTGCAATCCTTCCCACTTTATCCCTTCATGTTTGCAATCTTTCCTACTTTGACCCTTTAAGTTTGATTTTTCCCACTTTGGCCTTTCATGTTTGCAATCCTTCTCACTTTGGCCTTCATGTTTGCAACCCTTCCCACTTTATTTTTAGACTAGCTTTCATTAAAAAAAAAAAACTAACAGAATATGTCATATCACCAACACATCGGCTCCATGTATGATGTAAAAAATTCACTAAAGATACAAAAAATAAAAAATAGAAACAAAGAAATTGAGGCCTTGTTTGGTTTAACTCTCAAAACACAATTTTTGAAAAAAAAATTCCAAAATTTGTTTGGTTGGAAATTTTTTTTCAAAATCACTTTCTTTTTTCTACACATCAATCAATCACTTTTTCCCTCTCATCTCTCATTCTCAATCACTTTTTCTCTAACACACATTTACTCAACTACAATAAAATATCAAATTATTACAAACTCTAATACTCTAAAACTATTTCCAAAATATATAATCAAACAAACCCCAAAAAATATACAATCAAACAAACCAAAAAATATTTTAAACTCTTTTTAAATTCTTTCCCCAAGATTTTTTTTTGAAAATTTATCTCCCAAAACCAAACCAAACACACACTGAAATTTTCTTTTAGTCTTTAGTAAACTTTTTTTCAAATTTATTCATAAACATTATTACATTATAGATGCATCTAGCTTAGAGACACCTAAAAAAGTAAATAAATAAATAAATAAACTAAAAAAAAAAATTCACTATAGACACAAAAAAAACGATAGTAAATTTTTCATTTTAAAATTCAAGTCAATATAATTTAATTTTTTTCATCTTTAGTAAACTTTTTTTCTTTTTTTAATTAAATTTGTTTTTATCTTTTTAGGTGCATCTAATCTAGATGCATCTATAATATAATAATGTTTATGAATAAATTTGAAAAAAAAAAAGTTCACTAAAGACTAAAAAAATTTCAATTTTTTTGTTTTTTATTTTTTATTTTTTGCATCTTTAGTAATTTTTTTACATCACACATGGAACTAATGTGTTTGTGATATGACAAATTCTGTTAGTTTTTTGATGGAAGTTAGTCTAGATGTAAAGTAGCAATTATTGCATACATTAATGGCTAAAATGGGAAGGATTGTAAACATAAAGAGCCAAAGTAAAAAAAATCAAATTTAAAGGGCTAAAGTGGAAAATTGGTGAAACTTTAAGAGGGCAAAGTATAATTAACTCTAAAGATATATATATATATATATATATATTAGTAGAATAAATACGACAATATCACTTTTTTATTCATACAACTAAATAAATTTTTAATAAAAAAATGTCAAATTGCTATGTAAATTAAAACCTCAAGAAAAATCAGTATAATTATTTCAAAAATATATCCGTCCAAACATAGGCAAATTGAAAAAAATCAATCTGTATTAGTCCGCTTGATTAGCATATACGAATTGAGCAGATTGTGTGGGTTAGCATGTAAATATGCATTAATTTGGTGGTTTGAACTTTACTATTTTGAATATTTTTTCAAACTATTTTTCAATAATTCTTCATTATTTTGCACTTAAAATTTTTAATTGCTCATTTTTTATAATAAAAATAAAAGTTAAGCTTTATATTTTATAAATAGCAAATAATTATTGAATAAAATATTATTTTTTTAAAAACACAAAACATATAACATGTGTTTAGTGATGAGATTTAAAAAAGAAAAGGAAAAGAAAATATTTGTATACAACTAATTAAAACATAAATATATTTTATTTATATTTTATTTTTTATTTCTAAATATCTTCTAAAATCTCGCAATCATACACAACGTTAGAGGTGTTGAAAGATTGGATTGAGTCCGCCATTAATCTAAAAAAACAAAAAAAATTACATCTGCAGCTATTCGCTCGAATCAGTAACCGGGTTCGGATCAACCCGTTTGATGGACGTTTGCCCATCACCCACCCCTAGTTGCCAAACGGGCCTCAATCATCTACTCAACCGCCATACTAATCTCCAGAGAGAGAGAGAGAGAGAGAGAGAGAGACCACTGATTCGAAATATCTGTACAAAAGTAGTGATAGTTGGAGTTTCTGCGTATATTTTCTTCTCCGGCTACCGATTCTAAAGGGGTTTGTTTGTGTACTTGCGCGCGCGTGGGCTTAAAGAGAAAGAGAGAGAGAAATGGCGAGGAGACCAGACGAGGAATACGATTACCTGTTCAAGATCGTTTTAATCGGCGATTCAGGAGTCGGCAAAACCAACCTCCTCTCCCGCTTCACTCGGAACGAGTTCTGCCTCGAATCCAAATCCACCATTGGCGTCGAATTCGCCACTCGCACTCTCCAGGTCTCTCTCTCTCTCTCTCTCTCATCGATTTTGGTTGTTTTGTTTCCATTTGAAATGAATTTATATTTGATCTCATTTCTCTTGAATTGGTGTTTGTGTGGATCTGGTTTTACACGCTCTCTCATGGATTTAGGTCTTGGTGTTTGATCTGTTTTATTGAGCAAAGTAGTGGTCCTGGTTCGAATTGGAGGCCACAGATTTGTCTTATTTCTTTATATTTATATGAATATTTTTGTCTCTGTATGCATGTTTTTTTTGAAATTTCATTTAGATTATTGAGAAATTTGAAATTAGCGGTTTGTGTTTTGTTGTTTGGGATTGCTAGTAAAGTTTGATTGTGAGCATAATACTTCATACTTTATTATGCACAATTTAATTAAACTTTCCAAGTTCCAGATAGATTTTAAACTTATAATTGATATTCCTTGATACATTTTTGACAAAGCCTTCAAACTTGTGATCAGCGCATTTTAAATGGATATTCTTTCCATTTTTTTTTTGGTATTTTGGCTTTCACCTTTTTTAGGGGTTGTTTGTGTGTGCGTTCGTGTGGAATCAGTGGCGGCTCCAGAAAATTTGGTCAGGGTATTCAAAAATGAAAATTGTTTGATAGCTCGTATTTGTATGGCCCGAATGGCTCGAATGTCTCATTCGGGCCATGAAAATTCAGGCTATCAAGCATTGTTGTTCAAAAACTTAGTATAAGTTGTATGAAAGAGATCACACTCTATGTTACCAAAAAACACTAATACCATAGCGATTTACGTATTGGTACACACGTTCCGAAATATGGTACACTCTCGTTTCAAAATAGTAAATTTATTGATCCGAAACAATCTCAAATTATTTTTCCAATATGCTTCTTTAAATGTTACCTTAGGAGGAAAAAAAAAGAAAAAAGAAAACAAATATATGAACTGAAATTTAAGGTGAGTTAAAATTTTGACAAGATAAAAAAATAAAAAAATGGATCATAATTTTTATAGAAATGATTTGCTACGTGAAAAAAAAAAAAAAATGATACCTAATAGTTAAAAGAAAATTACTCTAGAAATATTTTAAATTCTTAAGTGTAATATATATAAGTCTACCCCTATCGTTCCACGTTTTAGAGCATATGGTGTACCACGTTCTCGTTCCATGTATCAGAACGATCCACGTTCTAGGTAACATAGATCACACTTATTAATGGCTATTATTAACTTCCAATGAAGTTTATAATTTGAACTTCTCAAATAACAAACAAAATACGATTAAATAAATTATTTTCAATTTTATATACCATAAGCTATATTCATCAAGATAACTGTCTTTCAGTTACTTCTATTTTGGTGGTGTTTGGGAAGCTGGGCTATAGGCTATTTTAGCCTCAACAATAGAGAAAAAAAAAAAAAAAAAAAAAAAAAAAAAAAAAAAACAACAACAACAACAACAAACAAAGCAGCCAGCAGCCTACTCCCATAGGCGAAAATGACAATTTTGCCCTTGTAGACTAAGTTTGGAAAAAGTGAGCTTAGGAGTAAATTTGTCATTTCAACTTCAAATATCATTTTAAACACATTTTTCAATACAACAACTCAAATAAAAATCTATCATATCTTCTTAAACACAATAAAAATCAATTATATCTTCCCAAACACAAAAACTAAAATAGTCAAAAAGCCAAAAAGCTTCTTAAATAGCCACTTCCCAAACACCCACTTTATTTGAAACAATTTAGGAACATATAAACCAAACATAGTACCAAGCACACACAATATATGGATGGATAAGATTTCACAAGATTTGTTGGTGGGGTCCATTTTTGAAATTTTTTGTGTAATCATATATTTTTTGTGTTTGATTCTATGTTTGATGTTTGTGTTTTCAGACTTTTTTGTTTAGAGGATGAAGATTGCTTTTGATCTTGGTATAAGAGTATAACCTTTTGAATTAAAAGGAGAGATTACAAATTGAATGTGGACTGGATGTGCAAAGATTAAAATGAACGAATTAGGTGTTAAAGATCTACAGACTGGATGTGCAAAATTCTTATTCATTGACTAATTAACATATATCCAACTTTAAAAATAAAAAACTACTTTTGAGTGTAGTTGCCGCCGCCCCTAGGTGGAATTCTATTTGTTACTTTAAAATGTGGCATCATTGACAATTTTTATTATCAAATATCACAAAAGCACAGGCACTTACAAAAAGGTGTCATGTTTGTGTTGGATCCTCCCCAACACATGTAGTATATGAGTCCAAGCATGGTTCTATTATTTTCATTTTTATAATTGAACATGCTTCAAACACTTGGAAAATAAATATCCTTGACTTAGACATGTATGAAGCGCATTACATGTGTGAAGAAAGTTACCAGAGCATGAGAGCAACCAAGTAGATATGGAGAATGGGTTTTAGATAAATTAAATATTATTTATTAACCATACTATAGTATTATGATGGCCTTTGGAGAATGTTTGCAATCACTGATATCAAATTTGTATGTTACACACACACATCAATAATTTTTATAATCTTATATATCAGCTGAATTGTTCAGTAACTCTAATTGTGTGATACATTCTTGTATTGTTTCCATGTTGTACTGTATAGCAATCTAAGAAGCACGGACACTTCTAGGGAGGAAGCGTGTTGTGTCGGATACCGACACTGCTTGAACACTTTAAAAGCATGTCCAACACTTCTTCAACGTGTCTTAATTAAAAAAACATATTTATATTATCAGGCCCTTTACTGACACTTCGCATACGCTCCAAACATGTCCTACATGATGAATCACTTCATAATAACAATGTTTTGTATTTTTCAAAACACGTGTTTTGAAACATTTATAAGATGAATGCATCGTGTGTATTATAATGTTCTATAATTTTTTTGTATTCTTTAGATTATAGTTCTTATGTGAACGATATATTGAGGTTTAAATTATGAAAAATATGTAACTTTTTAAATTTATTTAGTGTAGTGTTGCTTATATATATATATATATATATAAACCAAAACCAAAACCAAAACCAAAACCAAAACCAAGACCAAGCCAAACCAAACTACCCCTTAAGTCCCATCAAATGGGGTCAACTATATGAATTCTTCTTCTGCACTCGATTTTATCAAAGACTATTTGGTTTGTCACACTAAGGAGATTCATATCTCTATTTACTATACTAACCCACGTCAATCTAGATCTGACCCTTCTCCTAACACTTTCCTATACCGTCACTGTATTGCATCTCTTTAATACTGTTTTTGTTAGTATCCGTTGTACATGACCAAACCATCTCAATCTATTCTCCCTCAGCTTATTTTCTATCAATGTTATTCCTACACATTCACGAATTTTCTCATTCCTAATTGTATCCTTTCTAGTCTTGCCACACATCCACCTTAGCATTTTCATCTCAGCAACACTCATGTTGTTTCTTAGTTGTCCAACATTCCGTCCCATAAAATTTCGCTTGTCTAATAGCTGTTCTATAGAACTTTCCTTTTAATCTAGTGGATACTCGTTTATCGCAAAGTATCCCAGACACACTCTTCCACTTAAGTCACCCTGCTTTAATTCAATGGACCACATCTGCTCCAATCTCCTTAGCCGTTATGATAATCGATCTTAAATAACGAAAGTATTCACTCTTAGGTAGTTCTTGGTGCTCAATCTTCACTTCTCTATTTTCATTGTTACTATTACCAAAATTACACTCCATGTACTATGTCTTAGTTCTGCTTACCCTAAATTTTTTAGATTCAAGTGCTTCTCTCCAAGTTTACAACTTAGTGTTAAATCTTTCTCTAGTCTCTTCCACTAACACAATATCGTTTGCAAAAAGTATACACCATGACACGTCATCCTGAATATTTTTCGTCAACTCATCCATAACTAAAGCAAAAAGATAAGGGTTTAAGGTTGATCCCTGGTGTAATCCCACAGTAATTGAAAATTCACTTATCTCTCCAACCGGCGATCTAATAGTGATCATCATACCTTCATATATGTCCCTATGCTTGTATATATATATATTTTGAATAAATTATTCTATTTGACATATAATAAATTTATAAATGTATAAAATTTTAATGTGTCCTAAGCACGTCTTGTCTTGTATTTTTTGAAAATCAACATGTAAGCGTGTCCATGTTGTGTCAGTATCATGTCCCGTGTCTGTGTCTCTGCTACTCAGATAGCAATTTTGTGTATACCATGATTGATTAAATAAACATTCTGGCCTTCATCTTCTGTACAATTACCAACTTTCTCCATTGCTAATTTGTCATGGACTCATGGCTGACATTTGTGAATAGTCACCACAGCATGTGATGCTCCTGCATCTGTGGAGAGAGAGGGGGAGGGAGGGAGCTCTATGCCAAAATGGCCTTGTTTGGACAATGGCTTTAAACATACAAAAAGTTACGTCAACTCGGTGTTTTTGGGCAGGCAACTGAAACTTTGCCTGTGAATCTGTGATTAGACTAGAGGCCTTTTAAAACCTTCTAGACCTAGGCCCAAACAAATACACGATTATTATTTCATTCAACAACAAAGCTTGCAACCTAGCTAATTCTTCTGTGTTAAATGAGGTTTTTCTACTTGTTATCTCAACCATTTTGTAGGTACAGGTGTAGTGAGTGAAAATATCTAGTGAAATTCATTTATAACCATGAAACTAGCTTTAAGACTCATCTAGTTGTTACTTACTGTTGCTGTGTTGTTTAGGTTGAGGGTAGAACTGTGAAGGCTCAGATATGGGACACAGCAGGACAGGAGCGATACAGAGCAATCACGAGTGCTTATTACAGGGGTGCGCTGGGAGCTCTCTTGGTTTATGATGTGACAAAGCCAATAACTTTTGAAAATGTTAGCCGGTGGTTGAAGGAGCTGAGGAACCATGCAGACGCCAACATTATCATCATGCTTATTGGAAACAAGACTGATTTGGAGCATCTGAGAGCGGTTTCTACAGAGGATGCTCAGGCTTTTGCTGAGAAAGAAGGCCTCTCATTCATTGAAACATCAGCTCTAGAAGCAACAAATGTTGAGAAAGCTTTCCAGACGATCCTTTCAGAGATATATCGGATCATTAGCAAGAAGTCGCTTTCTTCGGAGGATGATCCAACGGCTGCTAGCGTAAAAGAGGGGAAAACACTGCTTGTTGGAGGTTCTGAGTCAAACATAAAGAAGGCTTGCTGCTCTTCATCTTAAAGGTTGTTATTGTTTATTCATGTACTTCATCTTGCTGAGCTATTGTTTCAAATCTTGTGTTTGTATTTTATCTTTGAACTTTGTTTGGCCTATTGTTGTCGGGATGGTTTAAGGTTTTTTTGTGTGGATTCACTCACATGAGATATATGTTACAGTTTTTGTAGTTCTAGTGTATAAGCAAAAGTAGGTTTGAGGGTACAAGTGAATGCATTTTAAGAGAATATTCCAGTGTATATCCAATCTAAGGTAAAAACAAATTTTGGTAATTCTTTAGTATCGTTTTCATTTTTTGGTTTTTGTTTTCATTTTCCATTGAAAATAATAAAAAAAGTTGTTCGGTGAATTGTTTCTTGAAATTTGTTTTCGATAAAATTTTCTTAAAATAACCCAGGGAAACATAAAAATGCTCTCTCTCTCTCTCTCTCTCTGAGGATTTGGAATTGATGGCTGCAATGCCAGTTCATCATTTTAAGATTGTGCTTGTTTTATTTTTTTCATCTGTGGATCTTGGAAATTGTCTAAAACCCACTTGCTACTTGTGTAGACTGTTTTCGGGAAGTGAATCAAATTACTTTCCTCTGGAAATGATTGGAACTGGTTCTTCTATTTCATTCATTTATTCAACTAGAGTCGGGATTGTTGGGTATTAGTGAATCCGCTACAGATTGTCTATGCAAAAAAAGAAGGCTGGTCGGACTTCAGCTCATATTTACAAAAATAGATAACAAGTATGATTGTGAAAATATATATATATATATATATATTTAAATTATTTAAAGACAAATATAATCTGATTATATAACTATCAAATCAACTTTATTTTTTATATGAATAATTTTCTTTGTAAAAGTCATATAAGATGAATGATTAAAATCACCAAAGTGAACTTGAAATGAGTCTGCTAATGACCTATACGTAATTTGAAAGCAAAAAAAATGAGAACACTATCATTAAGCATAGGGAGCATCTCTACTCAAAACTTTATGTTCGACTTAATTAAGCACGAAGCATATGCTCCATTCAAGGTGCTTAAATTTAACGTGTCAAATTTGGCATAAATTAAGAAAGACGTCACTTTAATTCATTCTTATTATTTTAATTTGATGGTCCACAACTCTCTCTAGTAAAATAAAATAAAAATTAAAACTTGATATATCATTGGCGTGTTTCATTTTTAAAACATGTGGAGATGAACTTAAAATCTCAATCTAACTCATCTATATGGACTAAATAATTTTTCTAAACCTTATAATTATCAAACTAGAAAGCATGTAAGATGGTCTTTTTTCTTTCAAGTAAATTTTTTTAAAACTTTTTTGGATAAACTACCAATAGATCTTAATATTTGGACTTAATTCTCATTAAGTCCTATTAAAAATAAGTCTTGATAAAATTATCACTAAAAATATTTTTTTTTGTGACAATTTTTTATATATGTCGCTAACAATTGACAATTAATGACTTTTTTTTGTTATAATTTTTATAAATTGTTGCTAAAACTTACAATTAGTGACTTTTTTGTGACAAATTTTTTCTATAGAACTTATTAGATAATAAATCCACCTACTAAGACTTACATGCAAGTACCCAACTTTTTTTGGCTAAAATTTGACCCCCAAAAATTCCACCAAAGACAAATAAACCAAACCTTGTCAATTTTTTTTTTTTTTAATATTTAAATTTTGACTTGTGTTTCTGTTTTTGCAAACTTCTTTTAATATTTTCATTAATTTTTACGGATGTCCAGTCTAAACTAAAAAGTAATAAAGTCTTAACTCTTAACACATTAGTCCATTCCCTCCAAGTGTGTCCAGGCAAGCACTACTTTTATGTAGTAAAACTATGGGCATTTTGCTTAATGTTTGGATTTACTCATGTGCCAAAAAAAGAAGAAACACTAGATTCAAATCAACCTCACCAATCTCCTAAATGGATAAATGAATATCAGAAGCCAAATGGTCCTGAGCTCCATTTTCCATTCAATTCATCATAGAAGAACAAAACCACAAGCTTCCCCTACTAGTACCCCTCTAAATCATTGTTAAAATAATGGGCATGCAACATAATAATTCAACCAACCCTATCACCCCAATCCCTGCCTCAACTCCCAACTCCCGCCTCAACTCCCAACTGCCTGACAAAAGTCAAAAGAGGAGATCAAATAAGGGCACAAATGTAATTTTAAAATGAATTCAGAATCCCTTCAAATTTTGTATTTTGATTGGATAGACATTTTTAATCAAACTACGAAATTTGAAGGGATAATGAGCTCGTCCAAAAATTATACTTCTACCTTGTAGAAGTCAAAGAAGAGGTCAAATTAGGGGTAGAAGCATAATCTTTGACGAGCACGGAATCCATCAAATTTGGTGGTATGAAAAACAAAATAATTCAACCAACCCGGCCTCAACTCCAACCTACAAAATATCCATTATTCATTCTAATTGTTAGAGCCTTCATATCTATCACTACTGACCAGAATATCGACATATATTATTCATTCATTTACAAAAGCGTACAGCACACATTCACCTAGGTGATGAGAATGTTCGGTTTTCTTCACAATCCATTTCGTAGGCAAGGGCTTGACTTCTCTTCCACATTTCAATTTTCAAACAAAGGAAATTATATAGAGACAGAATTCAATACACAACTCAAAAGTGGAACCTTCACCTATGAACAACAACTACAATTTTTCTTTTCCTTCTCTTTGAACAGAAAAGAAAAGAAAATGTTTTGAAAGATCTACAGCTGGAGTGTTCAAACAGTTTGTTAGAGATCCATATGTGATGCTTCAGTCAATAGATGTTTTTTTGCTAACAAGCTTAGTAGCCTTGCCATTGTAACTAGCTATTAGGAATACAACAGGAACTAAAAATTAACTGCAGCAATTGCTCTTCTGCTGAATTGGTTGCCCCTTTATTTGAACATTGCCTGGTGACTTCTTGTTTGCATTTGGCTGGCTACCCATTCTGCAGAAATTTTTGAAAAGAAACTAATTACAAATGTGGAATTACCAAAGTGTGAAGATTGAAAGGGAACTAATCACCAGTGCAGGCTCCATGTTCTGTAGTACAGAACCCTAAAACCTAGTCTAAGCAAATAAGTCGACAGACCTATGCAGCAGAAGAAGAAATCATTCGATTAAAATTGGTTGACTTTGTTTTTCCAAGCTTAACTGTAGCAGTTGTCCAAGTTATCACCATTTTCATTTACAACAGTTGGTTAAAAAAGCCAACTTTGATGAGCTTTAATTGTAAAGAATGATGGATACTCATCACATTGAATCGGTCGAGATCATTATCTGGGAGACAAGAATTAGATGGGGGTTGGGATACCACCATTGTCACTTCTCATCAATGAAACTGCTAAAGATATAGACAAACGCCAAGTTTGGCAACGTCGATATAATCTATCTTTTTATCTTTTTTCCATCACATCACCTCTCTACTTTTCTGCACATCTTTTCGTAAAAAGACAAAAAGTGTACTTATTTAGGTCATCCCAAACAATCCCAAAATATGCCTATGACATCCGAGTCTAAAAGAGGTCAAAACACATTTTACAATGAAGCTAAAAAAAAATTTATTATTAGTGAGCTAAACAAACCATTCGGGTTAATACGGCAATGCCACTTCGAAGCAGCTCAATTTCCCTCTTGCAATGGAGAAAGGTAGGTGATGCTAAAAAAAAAGGAGAGGTAGGGCAGACTCTACTCCTATCAAGACCTGTATAAATCCCAGCAATGAAGTACAGAACTTATTGGGCCCTACATTATTACTTAAAGCAACCTTTCAGTGTTAAATTAATGGGAAAACAAAGCTCATTAACCTTTTCAGTCAAGGTGGTTGTTAGGGTTACTATTTTGAACTGGGCACAATAAGGTAGAAAACTCAAAGAGAGATGATACTACAACTATATTATATTATAATATTTTAAGAAGAAGAAGAAGAAGAAGAAAAAGAAGAGAGAGAGTTGGAAGAAAAAGGAAACAGAAAGGAAAACAGCAAAGTTTCTGATTTTTAACCAAGAAATAAGCAGCAAACTTGAATTGGTAAAAGATGATATGCAACACCAGAAATAATGAAGAGTTGACAAGAGCCTTTACTTTTTCTTAATCTCGCCAGCCATAGTTAAGAAAGCCTGCTCCACATTGATCGAGTCTTTGGCACTAGTCTCAAGGAAAGGAATCCCCAGCTCATCCGCAAAAGCCTGTAGTTCATCCACGATGGGGACAATGGAACCAAGTCAGACCAGAAATGGAAACATTTCATGCTCATGAGAGAGAGAGAGGATGAATTTGGGTAGTCTTCAAAAATTTACTTATATATCACACTTTGGGAATCTGCAGCTAATTGTGTTTAAGTCAGCAAACATATCTTATATCCCAAGAAAAAAGATACATCAGAGAACTTCTCAGTTACTTTCACTTGCAAAACATTTGATCATGAAGATCATCAGATGCCTACCACAAGAAAACAACTTCACAATCAATAACACACCGCCTTAAAAGCCTTGAAAGGCACATGATGAGACAAGCAGCCTAAGAAGCAAAACCTAAAAAGGTTTACTCAAGTGGGAAGCCCTTTGAGGCTCCCCTTGTGTCTTTACACATTTTTCTCCCCTCAAGTCTGAAAAAGTGGAAAAAGACATACCAACAATTTATTTGGACAAACATCCCTTCATTTTGCCGTCTAGTTTTTCAAGAAAATATTCATGTATTTCAAAACATGTTTTATCTTCTCAAAATTATTGCAACTGTTTAAATCAAGTATAAATTTCAGCTTCCTTCCGATTAATGGGGAAAGCGAGGGAAAGAGGGTCTTTGCAACTGTTTAAATCAAAACCCTGCAACATAAAAATCAACCAAACATCATTTTCTTAACTACATCATACAAATGTTTAATGCAATTGTGCTGTTGATACTGTAAAGCCACAAATTATTCAACTGAGAACAAAAAGCAGGTGAATATTATTTCATGCAAAACATAAAGAACATAGCAGTCCACAAAGTTACCCATGAAGAGTAAAGTCCCAATAAATTAACCACCACAACAGAAGCAATTAGGTAACATGAATGCAAAAACTTTGAACTTATGATATATAACCATTTACAAAGAATAACAACCTCCACAAAATTGTTATTTTATGTTCCTCTTTAAATTATGTCAGATTTCAATGTATATTCAGTTCTGTACCTAATTATTCCATCAAAATTACAATTTAAATTACAATTACAGAGAAGAGTTAACACATAAAGATACACTCCAAGCCGAAGACAAGAAGTAGCAAGTTTTAACCACCCAATAAACATGCATCTAATCTTCAAATGCAAAAATGCAAAATATGAGAGATACTTGAATCATCTTATTATTGATACAATTGGGACAAAATTATTCACAGCAATCCTAATTAAGCACACTTATGGAGCAAAAAACTCAGTATCAGAGAATGCAAATGAAACTGCAGTCAGTAATGTGACCACTAAAAGTTCAGACAAATATAGTAACAGAGTATACCTTTGCTGTTTGTGTGTCCACAACCTTGTTCTCAACTAAATCACATTTGTTCCCAACTAGGAGCTTGCATACAGTGTCATTTGCATATCTATCAATCTCATTCAACCATTGCTTAACATTGTTGAAGCTCTCCATCTCAGTGACATCATAGACAATCTGTTGTAAATCTCAATATACATGTAAGAATTCTTTGCAAGCTCAAAAGAAGAAGAAGAAGAAAAAAACAGAAGCCCCAAACAATTTACATTCAGACAATTATATCTTAATACTTATCAAAGAATTCATTTATGTACTTTGCAACTTGTGCTAACCTAAATTAATGGTCTACAAGCATTCATTTATATCAAGATATGCTTCTTTTATGGCAAGAAGCTTTAGGAAAGTTCTACAGCCATTGCAATTGCTTCCAACATTTGTCTACCTCTGCAACCAGCACTGCAGTGACATTAGAGAACTATTCCTGTAGTCAAGTAATATCAACAGCCACAAATAGCCTTCCAAGAATAGTAGCAAATCCAATTATCACAGAGAGTATTTTCTGTTTCATGGACTGCTTTAAGCAACAAAGTGTTATAAAGATTAGTTGTAAGGTCCATTATAAAAATCTGAAAATGACAGTTATTATCAGAATATAGCCAGTTAGCTATGACTAAGTTCATTCAGAACCAGAATTGCATATGGTGACCTTGTATGGGGCGAAAGGTCTATACAAGAAAGAAATTGTTTCATTAAAGAATACTACTACGATTTCTTACAATGATTCCATGTGCCCCTCGGTAATAACTGCTAGTAATAGTCCGGAATCGCTCCTGTCCAGCAGTATCCCACTAAGAAGAAGACAACAAGAAAGTGCCATTAGTATTTCTCATAAAGCCTCTTGCAGACAAGAAAGCAATGCATAGCTCTTCTCCAGCCAATATTTTCCAATATAGAACTGAAATATATGAAAAGCAAAATAAAAATTTCACAAGTAAAATGATGAAGGTGATTGGAAACTTAAGACAAAGCAAATTTAAAGACACGGGGAAAACTGGAAATTGGTTGTTTTCAAGACCAAACCCTCTCCTAGCTTTTCCTAGTCTAGTTTTAGCCTTAGTACAGATCAAGAACCCAAGCAAAACTAATGCCTTCAAAGAAAGCTTATTTGAGACCAAGGAGTGTGGATCGACAAGATTACTGATCTTGTTTGTAAAGTGAAGCCACTGTTGGATCAACACAAAGGGATGCCCGCACTATTCTCGCTGCTGGTTAGTCTTATTATATGTTTAGCTTTTTGTTGTTCTCTCTCTCTCTTTATATATTTTCCTCCTTTTTCTTTTTCATTAAGTTTTTGGGAATCAAGGGTACTTTTGTAATTTTTGGATTTTTTTGGAGCTGTGTCGTAGTGATCACTCATAATACAGGTAAAGCTATGTTATTAGGCTTCTAAATACATTTTTTATTTGGTTCTAGACAACTTTAACTTTGAAACTTCTTGAGATTGAGTAATGTAACCTTAATCACAGGTGTGACACCTATATTAACCTAGATGTATGCCTAGACCCTTCTTTATCTTTCTTCTCCTCTTTATTTTTGAACTTCTAAAGCTTTCTGAAATCCATAACCAAATCTAATTTACCCATGTTCCTGATCTATATATCCTACTCGACAAACACTAATGTTTTGTTCTAATTCAACCAAAACTCATCAAAATAGCCCAAGGATCCCCACAAGCACCTTCCAAAAAGTTGCCATTCCATTGGATCTTCATCCTCATTAAATGCAAACCAATAAACAGAAAACAAGAAGCCCCATAGGCACCTTGCTCTTCATTTGTTTGAACGTTAGACAATTAGAGCATCACTAGAATGTGAAACTAACTCTCTACTTTGTATGTAATTTGCCAAACATAGAACACAGCAATTCAACATCAAACTTTTGAGTTATATTTTTCCATACAATTTATAAATGGAAAACCCATAAGAAATATGTATCAAAAAGAGGTGGACTACAATAAGATATACCACTATGGAAGGGGAATAGCAGGCTGCAACTTATCTAGATGAAGCCAAAACCACTGCCAACCACCAGTCAGCTCAGCAGTATGGCAGCAACTAAATCATAGGCCTTGTGGAAAACAAAAAAAATTTCAAACGTCCATACACATCAATGGACCAATCATTGAAAAGCTTCTATTGGGTTTTGAGAAAAGTACATCTGAGGTTTTTCTCCTTTCCCATCTTGTCAAATTTAGTTTTTGCTTCAACCCAACAACCATTCAATATAGTCAATCATGGAAGACAACATTCTTTTCCAAATAAAACATTGGTCCCAACTTCCATTAAATACATAGAAACATAGAAACGAACCAAATCCTCATCTAGATTTCGCATAATCACACACAGCATACACATTACAATTACAAACAAATAGCACAAATTACTTACAATCTGTAGCTTGATTGTCTTTCCATCGAGCTCAACAGTCCTAATTTTCTGTAAAAACACCAGAAATACTAGTTTCTTAGCTCAAAAACACAATATTCAACATAATAAACAGGAAGATAGAGAGAGAGACCCACGAAATCAACTCCAATAGTGCTAATGTAACTATCTACATATGAATCGTCCTGAAATTAGCAAAAATAGGAAATTAACAATGATAGCAACACATTTTTTTAGTGAAAAACAGTGAAATTGAAACATTTAAACAAAGAAATAGAAATAGACCTAGAAATAGAAATAGAAAAAATGTGAGATTACAAAGTTAACTCACAGCAAATCGGAGAAGAAGGCATGATTTTCCGACGGAAGAGTCTCCGATTAACAAAAGCTTGAAGAGGTAGTCGCTGAAAACGAAGAACACATACAAAACATATGTATAAATTAGGACAAACTCCGAAAAGAAAAAATCCAAGAGAGAGAGAGAGAGTTACTAGTCGTTGCTCATGTTTTGCGTGATCGACAAAAATGGAAGATTCTTTCTATCTTTGTCTGTGTGTCTTGAGAAGGGCTTTGCTTTCGTGTTGGTGGTAGAGTAATTTGTTTGGGAATAACGAAAATGAAAATGCCCTGCACCCTCAGCGTTGTTCACGAGGGTTGCTATTAGCACCTATTTAGACTCCTATTTTTTTTGGACACCAACCTTAAATTTTAAATTTTAATAATATTTTTTTTTTAATACCCAACTTATTACGAAATTTATTATATTCATAATATTTTCACAATGAAATACAAACTTACCGAATTTTCCATCTCTCTCCTTCCCCTCCTTCCCTGACTCACTCAATCTTCAGAGTTTAGAGCTTTGGTCCAGTATAGAATTCTTGGATCCCAACCCTTCATCACTTTTGTTGCCGTCTCGGCCATCAACGGAGCATTCCGACGACTCTCATCTTCTCTGAACGCTCTTCGTATCGCCGAATTAGTAACCTCTCTTATCCTCTCATCATCATCTTCTTCGTTGCTTTTTGTATCTTCGTCATCGCTAAGATCAATCGAAGATACTCTAATTTCTACGAGATTTGCATAACCGTTTGCAAGATGAGGAAAAACAGAATCATCGTCTGAATCGCAATCAAAATTATGAATGTAGCCCAAAACAATTTGTTCACCTCTGTGTAGCCGAAAAAATGTATTTTGTTCAGAACTGTTTTGTTGAACAATAATGATCCTGTCAGCACTGTATGTCCGAACAAAATTTGTTCATTAAAGATTATATTCGGTTCAACAGTATTGACTATTTGCATTAATGTTCGAAACCTATGTATTGAACGAAAGGATTATGTTCAATACTGTATTGTCGAGCATAATCCTAACAGTTGACAAACCAGTATCAAACAGCTCGAACAAAAGAAGAACGACTGAAAACGGCTGAAAATGTTAATGCAAGACGTAAAAACTTACCAACGGAATGTCGGTCTCACTAAAATTGTTGTCCTCATCCTCCATTGCTCTACACAGTGAAATAAGTGATGAAGTATACGTTATACTTGAAGCAAAACTTTCAAGTTCAATAGCGTTGATGATGGTAATGAAGATGATACATTCGGGATTTAAAATGATTATGAAAAATAATAAATTTAGGATTTATATTAGTTGGTTATGAAAAGTAATAGGTTTAGGGTTTACAAACATGAAACACGTATAGTTGGACTTGGAGTTGGGGGTGGGGGTGAGGGTGGATGTCCAATATTATAGAGTATTAGTTCTTATTGATAGGTGGGTGTTCCATTTAATAATGTCTTTTAATGTAATTTTACTTTAGGGTATAATTGCAATAAAAAAAATTTATAAAATGGGGGGTCCAAAGAATTTTGGCAGGTGCTAATAGTAAGAATCTTGTTTATATATAAAAAAACAAAAATGCTAGATGTCCTAAAAATTCTATTAAAAGTTTTATTAAATGTCTCAAGGGATTCACATTATGCGGGTCCCACACCCCCCTTTCGTAAAATTTTTAGTAGAATATTTGAGATCTCTAACATAAAATTTAAAAGCAATTAAAGGGTGTTTTTGGAAGTTGGTAAAAAGCTAATTTTTTTGACTTTTTTAGCTTATTTTGTCTCTAACATAAATTTTAAAAGCAATTAAGGGTTGTTTTTGTGGGTAAGTTATGTGAGAGATAATGTGATTCAAAATTGATAAAAAGTTAGAAGTTGACTTTTTAACAGTTTTCCAAAAGACTCCTAAATGATGTGGTAACATTATTATTATAAATAAATACATATTTAATGGTATTTTGTTTTAAAATAAATAAATTTATAATGAATCACATTATTATCTATAAAAATTATGTATGAATTTTTTATTTTTATAACAATACTTTTTATATATGTATACATGTTATCTTATTTGGCATTTGACTAATATAGCGAAAATTTTATTTAAAATTATTAGACCATTCTTTTTATTTTTTTATATATTTATTTTTATACCCAAATAACTTGACATAGGCAAGGACATGACACATCCAAAAAACATAATAAAAAAATAAAGAAAAAAATTTATTAAAAATAAAGAAAGTTTTTTTAATAATTTTTTTAGAAAATAAAATTGTAGAAAAACAAGAAAAACTACCGTAAAACCTCTTTAAATTAATAATACTTTTAAATAATAAAATTGCTCAGGACCAACGTCTTAAATTAATTTTCATAAAATTATAAGATAATACATTTTAAATATTTCATTTATATTTTATTGGCCCCAAATATTTTATAAATTAATAATTAATTTAAAAGTACATAATACTAATCATCTTCTTTTCTTGACACCTGTGGAGCCAATTTTGCTAACAAACTTCGCCGGAGCTGACCGTCGGCTCTCTTCCCACAGTCCTATTTGCCACGTCAAAAAGTGATCTACACACATTTGAGTGAACTGCCCGTAATTCTCGGGATACTCTTCTAAGGAGTACAACATTGTATACCAAATAAATCAATAAAAAAGACAAAAAGAAAAGAAGGGACGAAATAAGGTATTTCCGAACTGAAGATATCATAAACAATAGAATTATGTTAGAGATTCTAAATATTTTACTAAATATTTTATCAAACATTTTATATGGGCATGAGATTTATACACATATGGATTTGTATGAGTTTGTTTAGACGGATTGGATAAGGGGGGATTGTAATCCATCTGACTATTAGTCCTGGATACATTGTTCCGGGACTATTTGGTTGGACTAAATTTGTATCCTATGTTTGTTTAGTTATAGGATTAGATGTCTGGATTGGACTATTTTTAGTTATCCAATGTTTGTTTGGGATATTATAAAGAAGGATAAATGCTCAAATGACTATTTTATTATTTTCAATTATTTACTAAGTAATAGCAATATTAAACATAGCTTTAATATTTTAATTATTTTTAACTAGATTAAATAAAAATTTGTTCTATTTTATTTTTTGCACAATATTTTAATTATTTTAATTTATTATTTTCACTTAAATTAAATTTATAATTTATATTTTTTATTTAGTATATAATTTTAAATTAACGACAATAAAAAATAATTTTATTTAATATATAAATTAAATTTTCAACAACACTAAAAAAATTAATTTACATTTTCTAATTGTTTGCTAAGTAATAGCATGGAAGGTAAAATGGACATTTCACAAAATAATCCCATGGGATACTAATCCCATGGTTTCTCTCCCACCCTCCCCCATGGGATAGGATAGTCCCATATTTGTGAGACTAATAGTCCGAGGAGACTATTAGTCCGGAGCAAAAAAAATGAAACAAATAATGGATTATTAGTCCGGTGGGACTAATAGTCCAATCCCACCCCCTAATCCTTCAAAACAAACACACTCATATGGATTTATGTGAGTTGTTTGGTAGAATATTTGGGATACACCCCGTTTGTTTGGGGTTATAGGAAAGGGATTGAGATTGATAGTGAGGTGGGACCCACTATATGGGGTGTTTGTTTTAAGAGGTGGGGAGGGAACTCCTAATCCCCCGTTTGTTTGGAGAGTTAGAGGGGGGATTGAGATTGTTAATGAGGTGTGACTCACTAATATTGTGTTTGTTTTGAGAGATGGGAAGGGGATTGATAGTGGCGCTGTTTGGGAATGGTGGGTTGGGGCTATTATAGCCTGAAATGAGAAATAAGCTAAAAAGCAAAACTGTTCAAAGTTTTTCAAAAAAAAAAAAGATAGGCTCAGCGCCGGACAATGTAGGCACAGCCTACACTGTCACAACCTCAAAAGTCATCATCAACGGCTAAATTACCATTTTACCCCTTTACATCAATTTAAAAAATTATAATTTATGGACAAATTTGTCATTTTAAATTCAAACATCATTTCAACACACTTTTCAATACAACAACTCAGCTAAAAATTCATCTCATCTTCCCAAACACAAAAACTAAAATAGCCTACTAAAATAGCCAAAAAGCTTCTAAAATAGCCACTTCCCAAACGAGGCCAGTGAGTTCCGGATTAGGATGGCCCCCCAAGGGGATTCGGATGGGCCTCTAGGACTTGGTATTAGAATAATAGTCTGGCAGACTAGAAATTTTTTATTTTTATTTTATTTTTTACATGTCGGGCATTTTTTTTTAAACATTAATATTTAATTTTTTGTATTTTTTGTTAAGTAAAAAGCATTATTTTATTTTTTTCTAAAATTTTTTATTTTATTTTATTTTTTATATTTTTTTTACATGTTGGACATTTTTTTTAAAACATTAATGTTTAAAGTTTTTGTATTTTTTTATTTGTTTTATTATTTCATATTTATTTTATATAAAAATAATTTAACAATCCCTATACTAACAACTATCATTAAAACAAACACAATTTTACTTAATCCCCTCACCAACAATCCCCTCACTATCAATCCTCTCCATTCTACCTCTGAAAACAAATGGGGCCTTAGTATTAGGATAGGCCTTGGAAGGGGGATTGAGATGGATGAAGTAGAGGTGATATTAGAAAAATAGTCCCAAGGACTAGAAATTCTTTATTTTATTTTTTTATTTTTTTTATTTTTTACATGTTGGGCATTTTTTTTTAATCATTAATGTTTAATTTTTTATATTTTTTGTTAAGTAAAAATCATTATTTTTATTTATTTTATTTTTTTTCTAGAAATTTTTAATTTTTTACATGTTGGGCTTTTTTTTTTGAAAATTAATGTTTAATGTTTTGTATTTTTTTTATTTGTTTTATTATTTTATATAAAATAATTTAACAATTTATACATTAACAACTATCATCAAAACAAATATAATTTTACTTAATCCCCTCACTATCAATCACCTCACTATCAATTCCCTCAATTCTACCTCTGAAAACAAACGGGACGTAAGGGATTGTGTTGGACTAAATATTGTTTGTTTGATTTAATACATTGTATACGCTTGTTTTAAATAAGTTGAATACATTAGATCTTTATGTTAATTATAATTCAATGAACTCTTAATTGGTTAAATATAGAGATATATCTCTTAATTGGTTAAATATAGAGATATATCTTATATACTTTGAATCTTAACTTGGTTATTTGATGTGATAAATCTGATTGATCAAACCTTGATAAGTTAATAAATATAACAGAAATGATAGAGACTCCCTTTTT